GAGTTTGTATAGAAAGTCCTGGCCTGTTATTATCATCATTATTATTTTGGTCTGGAACTACTTGCTATGTAGCTGAGGATGACCTTGAGCTTCCTATCCTCCTGCTTCCACTTCTGAATGCTGGGATGACAGGTGTGCACCTCCATGCCTGGTTTATTCGATGCCTGGGGATCATTCATGCTAGGCAAGCAGTCTACCAGCTAAGCCACATCCTTGGCCCAGTGACCTGCTTTTTGACCTCGGGAAACATTGTGATAGTTCGGCAGTCTGGAGGACCTAAGCTCGTGGGAGGCTTCCTCCCACGTGGGAAAGCCCCTTGGGGTACAAGAAGAGTAAGTAGCCGGTGGAATTGTTCCTGAATCTTCACTGCACGTTTCCAGACAGCCAGAAAAATGCCAGCTATCAGTCCTGGCACAGTGCAGGGCAGGGCAAGGGAAGTGGCTCTGACAGATGGGTGGGGCACTGCCACCACAATCTAGCTTGCTTCCACCTTCTGAACATTCACCTGTCCCTCCTGCAGCCCACATATGAGCAGGCCACGCTGATTGTGTATTCTGCCACAGCCTAGACAGCACCATCACAGTGACTAAGAAGTGATTTCAGAAAATGACCTTTTCATTTTTTTCATAAATTCGAGAAATAAAGACCACACGAGACCATTTCCTGCTCGTGTCATTTGACAGAAGGCACACTGCTTGCTGGGAAAATAATGAAATAATCCCAGACTCAGATTAGTGCTAAGCAATTTCATTCCAAATAAACTGGAGTTCCTAAGAAACAAAGATGGACAGATTGACAAACAGAAAATGACACTAAGCAACCGGGAGGAGGTGCCTAGGGATGTAACTTGGTAGAGTGCTTTCATGGCATGGAGGAAGCCCTAGGTTACCCCAGCATTACTTAAACCTGGGCGTGGTGGTGCATGCCTTTAGTCTCAGCACTTAAAAAAAGTAGAGGCAGGAGGATCAGAAGTTCAAAGTCACCCTTGCCTATATGAGTTTGAAGCCAGCCTAGACTACATGGGACCTTGTCTCAAAAAACAAAAAGGGAGCTGGGTGTGGTAGTACACGCCTTTAATCCTAGCACTCTGGGAGGCAGAGGCAGGCAGATCTCTGTGAGTTCAAGGCCAGCCTGGTCTACAAAGAGAGTTCCAGGTCAGCTGGGCTACAGGGAGACCCTGTCTTAAAAAGACAAAAAAAAAAAAAGCTGGTGATGGCTTGGCGGGTAAAGCACTTGCTATAAGTGTGAGAACCTGAGTTTGGCTTTCTGGATGCAGTTGTGTACAGGTGTCTATAATTTCAGTACTCTGGGACTGGGGACAGGAGGAACCCCAGAAGCTTTCCTGCCTCGAGTATGTGGTGGTGAACAAGAGAGGCCCTGTCTCAAACAAGGTGGAAAGCAATTGCTGACACCCAAGATTTTCCCCTGACCTCCACATGCATGTGGGCACACATGCATGCCTACACACACACATATACAGGAACAGGCCTGCTCCCAAACACATGCACATGGAGAGAGAGAGAGAGAGAGAAAGAGAGAGAGAGAGAGAGAGAGAGAGAGAGAGAGAGAGAGAGAGAATGTAAAGTGCAGGTTAAGAAGTGTCCAATTCCCCAAATACTTTCCACTCAGTGATCTCCCTATGTAGCTGAGGAAATGCAGTTCTGATCCTCCTGTCTCACTTCCTTAGTGCTGAGAGTACAGACATTCACTACCATGCTTGGTTTTATATGGTGCTGTGAATTAAACCCAGTGCTTCACACATAGTAAGCAAGTACTCTACCAACTGAACCATATCCCCAGCCCCACACTAACACTTTTTTTTTTGGTCTTTTTGAGACAGGGTCTCCCTGTAGCCCCAGCTGTCCTGGAACTCACTATGTAGACCAGGCTGGCCTTGAACTCACAGGGGTCCGCCTGCCTCTGCCTCCCAAGTGCTGGGATTAAAGGTATGTGCCACCATGCCCGGCATTTTTTGGTCTTTTTAAGACAGGGTCTCCCTGTAACCACAGCTGTCCTGGAACTCACTATGTAGACCAGACTAGTCTTGAACTCAGAGATCTGCCTACCTCTGCCTCCAGAGTGCTGGGATTAAAGGCATGCTCCACTTCACCTGGCTTCACTTTTTATTTTTTGAAACGGTCTCATTATGTAGCCCTAGTTGGCCTAGAACTTGCTGTGTTGATGAGGCTGACCTCAAATTCAGAGATCTGCCTGCCTCTGTCTCCAAAGTGCTGGGATTAAAAGTGTGTGCCACTGGAGGCTGGAGAGATGGCTCAGGGGTTAAGAGTACTGACTGCTCTTGCAAAGGACCCATGTTTGATTCCCAGCACCCACATGGTGGCTAACAACTGTCTATAACTGCAGTTCCAGGGGATCCGACAGCCTATTCTGATCTCTGGGGGCATTGCACAACATGGGTGCACCTACCTACATGCAGGCAATATACTCATACACATAAAATAAAAATAATAAAAGTTAAAAAATAAAAAAAGGTGTGTGCCATCATGCCTGGCCACACTAACACTTCTGCTGATGTTAGTCCAAGCCTTTCCTGTGTAATAGTCTCTGTCCTCCACACAGTGTATGTGCCAGGACACTAAGGCCAGCTCTTTAGCTGGGTTCAGGCCTTTCCTTGCTGCTTATAGTCCTGTGATTTGTGTATCAGGATGATGACAGGAACTATTCAGAAATCTTGTGACACGTGACTCAAGCACCATTCTTCAGAACTGTGGTGTACAACCAGCACCCACAGAGAGCTACAGCCTCATACCAACATGTACATATCATGCAGCATCATGTCTGTATACCTCTGTATACCCATGCATGTACACAGCACATGCACATGTGTGTAGGGCTGTAGTGAGTACACAGATATGTGCACAAAATGGGATGACACGACACACCCGTGAAGTTGTTTTCATATGGAGATATCATCTTGTTTTTGTCTTTTTGAGACAGGGTCTCCCGGTAGCCCCAGCTGTCCTGGAACTCACTATGCAGGCCAGGCTGGCCTTGAATTCACAGAGATCCACCTGCCTCTGCCTCCCGAGTGCTGGGATTAAAGGCATGTGCCACCATGCCCAGCGGAGTGTCATCATTTTAATGGTTAAATACTATTCTGTTGTGGGGTTCAGGGCAATGGCTCAGTAGATAAAGTGCTTGCTGTGTAAGCATGAGGATCTGAGTTCAATCTCTGGCACAAATGTAAAAAGCTAAGTGTACATTTTCCAAGCATGTGCTTGGAATCCCAGTGCTGAGTGACAAAAGGCTCTCTCAGACTTACTAACCAGCCAGCCTGGCCTAATAGGTAAGACCCAGGTCCCAATTGTCTCAAAAAAACAAACTGGAGACTGCTGAGATAGAACAGTGGGTGGAGGTACTTGCTGCCCAACAATGCAAACCTCATGACCTGAGTTTGAGCCCCAGAACCCAAGTCATGGGAGGAGAGAACTGACTCCACAGAGCTGTCATCTGATCTCCACATGCATGTGTAACTACACACACCTCAGATCCAAATACATTAATAGGTGGGCATAGTGGCACTCACCTTTTTTTTTAACTTTAGAAAAATATTTATTGAGAATTTCATAAACGCATATAAGGTGTTTTGATCAAATCCATGTCCACTCCCTCCTCTCCAACTCCTCCCATATCTCCCCATCACTTTTTAGCATGCACCTTTTAATCCCAGCACTCAGGAGACAGGTAGATGTCTATGAGGTCAAGACCAGCCTGGTGTACATAGAGAGTCCCAAGTTAGTCAGTGCTACATAGCGAGACCCTGTTTCAAAAAACAAAACAAAACAAAACACTGAGGCTAGAGAGATAGCTCAGCGGTTAAAAGCACTGGCTACTCTTGCAGAGGACTTGGGTTTGCTTTCCAGCACCCACATGGTGGCTGACAATCATCATAACCCCAGTTCCAGGGGATCCCATGCCCTCTTCTGACCTCCCAGGGCATTGCAAAACAGGTGCACTTAACATACATGCAGGTAAAACACTCATACACATAAAATAAAAATAAATAAAAAGTTTACAAAAACACCAAACACCCGATACATTAATAATACATAGTTTTTTTAAAGGAAAGAAAAAAGATTTAAAAAATAAAGTTCACAGGTCAGTGAAAAGGCTCAGTGGGTTAAGGCACTTGCAACCAAACCTGATAACCCAAGTTTGAGCCTGAGGACCTACAGAGAAGGAGAGAATTGATTTCTGCAAGATGCCTTCTAAATGCACCATGACACACACGCACCCCCCCAAATAACTGTAATTAAAAAATTAGAAATAAAAAATAAGGTTTGTTTGAAAAACAAGGGCTGGAGAGAGGGCTCAGTGGATAAGAGCACTGGCTGCTCCTGCTGAGGACCTGGGTTCAGTTCCCAGTACCCACATGGTGGCTAACAACCACCTGTAACTCAAGTTCTTGGGGAATCCGACACCCTCTTCTGACCTCTGTGGGCATTGCATGTATGGGTACACTTACGTGAAGGCAAAACTTATACACATAAAAGTAAATATTTAAAAAACAAAACAACCCCCAAAGGGGAGATGGCACCCCTAAAGAATGACACCCAAGATTGACGACCTCTGGCCTATACACACACACACACACACACACACACACTTGCATCTGTACACACGTGAACAGGCATACACACAGCATACTACTCTAGTGTATAGAGAGGCCATACCACCCACGTGGAGCAACTGTTAATCATTTAGGTGGTTTGTATAATTATCAATTTCATTACTCTGTAGATATCTTAGAAATTCAACAGCCAGTCAAATCTGGATAAGAAAAGCAGCCGTTGGCTAGACCAAACCAGGACTCTGTTCTGCCTGCTTTGAACCTCAAGCTACTGAAGTGGCTTCACCCAGCCCACTCAAGTCTAGTTGAGATTTAAGTCAGACCATGGTGCTTAATACCTGCCCGACAATTGAACCATCACCAATTAACAAAAACCATCACCAATTAGCCAATTAACAATAGAACCATCACCACTTTAGTACAAATTTTATTCAATAGAAAGACAACATGATTATTCCAAATCAAAATCAGGGACATGATTCAAGCTTCCATTCCAGTTCTGCAGATCATTGTGTATTCCTGTGACATCCACTCCCTTGAACATTCCTGGTGGCCATGAGGGTGGAAGGTTGGGTATGTGGGGCTGCAGGAAACCAATCTAACTCTCTAGAGAATGTCAGAATGACAAAGGTAGCCTGAGGCTAGCACAGGCCTGATGTCCCAGAGGTCCTCAGGTCCTCAGTAATCAAAGGCGGTCTCCCACGAGTCTTGATGAAAAAAGACTGGAGAATGACCCTTGATGGTTAGGTTTTTGTTAATAACTGGCTTGTCGACCAGCTCCACAGTACACAGCTCTGGGGCTTGGTCACTGCAGGGCGCACACTCCAGTTCCAGCACCGTGATGTTGTTTGGGGCTGAGGTTGTCAGGATGTGACTTGGCACAAACAAGGTCATCTGCGGGCCCCGTGCAGGCCAGTATCGTCCAAGATTAAAGCCATTGATCCACACTTGGCCCTGAAGAGAGAGATAAACCATTAGTCCAGCATGTACCAGGAGATTGGATGTACCAGGAGTTGGGGTGCAGGGACTCAGTAGCAGAGCAGAGAGGATGCAAGAGATGCCCTACAAAGTTGGGCTGAGAATCAGGCTAGCCTCAGTCTTGCTGATGCACGGTGGGTTGGACGGAAGACAGGTGAGAAGAATGGCAGAGGCTTGCCTCAAATACTCACTCTTGCTTCAGGAAAATACACTGGAAACCTCAGAGTTCATTGGTTACACACGTTCTCCTGGAGAACAACAAAGGAGCTCAACAAGTTTCTAGGTTTCACCCTGGCTCCTGGGTACCGCCTGTCTGTACACTAGCCCTCCCTGCTATCTATATTCTTTAGCCAGGGAGGCTCCCTGCTCTCTCCCACAGTAGTGGGGCTTAGCCACCTGTCTGCTGTGCACCAGGGGACATACACGGAACACAATGAACTCCAGAGCCAGCAGTCCAAGAACTGTCTCCAAAACAACCCCAACTGAATATGATGTTGTGTGTGGTGGGTGCTGTGTAGTTCCAGCCTTTAGGAGGCTAAGGCAGGAGGACTGCAGTGAGTTTCAGGCCAGCCTGGACTACACAGTATGTTCAGGCTAGCCTGTGCTATATCGTGAGCTCAAGCCAGCCTGGGCCATAGAATGACACCAAAGTGAGGAAGAAAAGGTGGTAATATAGGGCCCAGGGGAAGACGGCTAGGAGGCTATTCAGCATGGAGTCTATGTCACTGGTGGACTGATTAGTGATTCTCACAGTCTCTCCCTGAGGGATACAGTGACCACATCTGCCACAAAGATCAGACATGATCCTACAAGCCACAGAGATAATTCCTGTGAGCAGGAGAAACTTCCAGAACAAAAATGAACATGGTGGAGAAAGTTTGGTATGTCTGTCTATAAGTATAACTCCTCGTTTATTTTTATGTGTATTAATGTTTTATTATTTTTGTTTTTTATTTTACATGTATGAATGTATTGCCTGCATGCATGTAAGTGCAAGGCCTGTGTCATGTAATAGCCACAGAAGTCAGAAGAGGGAGTCAGATCCCCAGGAGCTGGCGTTATGGACGGTGCTCTTAACCACTGAGCCATCTGTCCAGTCCATGTTTTGCCTGCATGTATGCAAGTGTACCATGTGTGTTCAATGCCCACAGAGGCCAAAAGAGGGCATTGGATCCACTGGAACTGGAGTTAGGGATGATGATTAGCTGCATGTGAGTGCCGGGAACTAAACCTGGATCATCTGTAAGAACAAGTGCTTTTAACTGCTTATCCATCTCTCCAGAACCCCTCCCACCTGTCTGTCTATCTGTCTGTCTGTCTCTCTCTTGCCCCCACCCCACCCCACCCCACACTAAGCCTCCCTGTGTAGCAAAGGCTGGTCTGAACTCACTATGTAGCCAAGGTTGCCAGAGCAATCCTGCCTCAGCTTCCCAAGTGCTGGGGTTCCAGGGGTGAGCCACCACCTCACTTGGCTCTGTGTGAATTTCTTCCCTTGATTCCCACTTATTCCTGCCACTTACTAGTTCTCTGACCTCAGGACCCCACCCCACACTAAGCCTCCCTGTGTAGCAAAGGCTGGTCTGAACTCACTATGTAGCCAAGGTTGCCAGAGCAATCCTGCCTCAGCTTCCCAAGTGCTGGGGTTCCAGGGGTGAGCCACCACCTCACTTGGCTCTGTGTGAATTTCTTCCCTTGATTCCCACTTATTCCTGCCACTTACTAGTTCTCTGACCTCAGGTCCTGTCTTAGTTTGTTCTTCATTGCTGTGACAAAACACTCTGACCAGTACCAACTTGGGGAGG